TCCAACTTTTCATGCCTGTCAGGCATTTCAAAGACATAATGAGGACTAATTGTACCTGCAAATGATGTCGAGCAGGTTCTGAAGCACATGCTACTACTGAAGGGCAAAAAAAGAGACTCTTACCACTAAAACCAGAATCATGGGACCTTGATAGATGTAGTCGGTGTACACGCCAGCGCGCTTCCCAAACCAGCACCTGAAATGTCAGCAAAAGCAATCAGTCATGGTTTGTTCTAACGGGCAGGTCCATTTATATTGTCACTCATCTCCTCCCCTTCGGTATGTGTTGGCATTCATTTCCCAATGTGTGCTCAAGGGGTTTAAACATGTGTTTTCCAGTCAGTGATTCACCCACAATATGAGTTATAGCCAGATTATTTTAGCCAGAGGTGGGAAATACTCTCAGGACTTTAACCCTTTAAAACAACTAACATTTAAGGGCTTCTGCCTTAATATAAATGAAAACATCTGCCAGCCTCGTGAGAACAGAAGAAAGGATCTTATGTAATTTTCTTGAAATGAATCAAGAAGAAATAAGGCAGCTGGTGGCAGCTGGCCCCTGCGGTTTTCATCAAATCGTACTCAAACAGGATTAAACCCAGCATTTGTTGGGGACTATTTTTATCTGTGCAATAATACAAACAGCACTCTTCCACTACCTGTGCCACACCCTTGTTTGCACAGTCTCTACTCTTAATATACTGATATTCCTGCGTAAACAGGGGCTCCAGTAAGTCTGTGTTCATTGATGAATTACGAAACTGACCTCTTAAATAAAAGTTCTCCAAATTTGTGGCATTCAAGAAAGGAAAAGCACAATATTACACACAAATAAAAGCTGTATCCCCCACCCCTACCACGAAAAATCCCATGTCTCTATCTGAGGGATTGTGTTTCGTCATCGGCAAAGATTTAGGCCTAAGAGTTAAATCAATGGTAATCTTTTTCTGGAGGATTTCAATCAGTTTGTGGAGGAATGGATTAACTTAGCGTCTTGCTGTATTTCTTTTGAATTTTGTGTGTTTGCTCTCCATCATCTCTGCAGCCTGTTTGCATTTGTCCCCTTTCTCCTCATGCCGTCGACATGGATTTGTATCTGTGTATATCACTGGCCTTCATTTGATTTGTTGTTTTCTTTTCACGGAGCGGTTTCATTCGTTCACGTGTCATATTTTGCTTCCGTGTTGTCAGGGTTTGTTTAGCTGATTGCTGCCTCGTGTATCTCCCTCCTTCAGCTGTCAGGTCTTTGTTTGCCGCCTGGGTTTTTTTTTTGTTGTCATTTTTTTTGGTTGTTGCTTTCCTTGAGCTTTGCTTATTTGGATCGTGTGTTTTGTTGCTCAGCTGAGCCCTGTACTGTTTGACGCAGGTTGATATACTGAGGATATCTTCAAACTGTGCAGGTTAGTCTCAGCCTAAAAACTGCAAAGCAGTGTAAGCGCTCACACGATGGCGTTTAACGGCGGGTTGGTTCTTATATTGTGTAGTACTTTTGAGTATTCAAAGTGCTGTATGCAACATGTCTCATTCACGCAAGCACTTCTTTTCTACAGCTAAGTGCTGTTTATCTAATACTCACACTC